CTACTTACAGGTAGATTTCTATCGTGAAAGATGAAGAAACCTTTGATAGCTACTGTTGCCTTCCTGTCCCCATAGCTCAATTGTTCTGCCTCCCTACATCTCAATTGCCTAAGAGTCTTCAGGCATGTTGTGAATCAAATACTTTGGAAATAAAAATTATTGGTGGCAGCTAGGTGGCACAGTGGATACAGCACCAGCCCTGGAGTCAGGAGGACCTGAAGTCAAATCCAGCCACATAACACTTGCTAGCTGTGTGACCCTGGGCAAGTCACTTAACCCCACTGCCTCACTAAATAAAATAAAATAAAATAAAATAATAAAAACTAGTGGTTGAGACTTAGGCCCTGGAGGTTGTAATTCTTTAAAGTTTACTGATCAGGGTTTGTTTATTTGTTTTGGAATTGGACTAGAGTCAGTGACCTTTAAGGCCTCTTCCATCTCCACATCCGTGATCCTTTGTTAATGGCTGTAATACAGTATGCAAGCATCAGGCAAGTGTTCTACAAGTTTGTTAGGCATTCGTTGCTGTTAGAGATGCTGTGGTGGATGAATAATGCTTGTTGTTGCATTCAGTCACTTTTCAGTTGTGTCCAACTATTTATGACCCCATTTGGGGTTTTCTCAGCAAAGATACTGAACTGGTTTTCCATTTCCTTCTCCAGCTCATTTTACAGATGAAGAAACTGAGGCAAACAGGGTGAAGTGACTTACCCAAAGTCACACACAGCTAGTAAGTTTCAGATTTTAACTCAGGAAGATGAGTCTTCCTGACTCCAGATCAAGTACTCTATCCACTGTACCAACTAAGCTGCCTTGAGTCATACTGTCAAACAACTAAAGACCAAGTATTCCTACTCACTATGTGGGTGATTCAGTGGATAAAGTGCAAGACCTGAAGTCAGGAAGACCTGAGTTCAGATTCTGCCTTGGACACTCCCTACCTGTGGAACCCTGGGTAAGTCACTTAACTTATCTGTGCCTCAGATTTCTCAGTTGTAAGTTGGGGAAAATAATGGTAACTTCCTCACACAGCTGTTCTAGATTTAAATGATTTAACATATTTAAAGTATTTTGTAAAACAAAGTGATATATAAATATTAGCTTTTTTTTAGTGTTACTATAAATTGTTATCACAATAATCTTCAAAATTTTCTTTACTGATGAAATGAATAAATAATACTGGAGACAATGTCAAGATCAATCAAGAAACATTTATTAATCCTCTATTATATACAAAGCACTATAATAATAATAATAATAATAATAGCTAACATTTATATAGCACTTACTATGTGTCAGGTGCTGTGCTAAATACTTTACAATTATTACCTCATTCGATCCTCAAAACAACTCTGTGAGGTAGGGGCTATTATTATCCCTATTTTACAGGTAAGGAAACTGAGGCAAACAAAAGTTAAATAACTTACCCAGGGTCACACAACTAGGATGCATCTGAGGCTAGATTTGAACTCAGATCTTCCTGACTCCAGATCTGGCACTCTGTCCACTGTACCACCTAACTGCCCTATAGCTTCACCACAATAAGACAGAGATATAGTTTGGTGGAACCATTCCTTAGGGAGTATGTAGTCCAATATACGCCAGTAACATGTGTAGCTACAATTCACAATATTATATAATAAGTGTCTTACAGAGTTATAAATCAAAGCATTACATGAGCTTTCAAGAAAACCAATTTTAGAAACTCATTCCCACCAATTGGGGAAGTCAGAGAAAGCTTTCTAGAGGATATAGTGTTTGATTTAAGCTTTAAAGGATTGGTCAAACAGACAAAGATCAAGTGAGCTTTCTGGTACAGAGAATGACCTAAGTCAATGCGTTAGGACACAGTGCATGTACAGGGGGCGGAGAACTGTCCAATTTAGCTGTAGCTTAAAGTCTGTGGAAGGGATTGATATGAAATAAGACTGGAGGTCAGGCTGTCATCAGATTGTAGAGGTCATTAAATGCCAGACAAGGGAGTGTGAACTTTGCTCAAGAAGCAAGAGAAGTTACTGAAAATTCTTTAGCAAAGGAATGCCACAACCAAGATCTGTGTGTAAGAAAAATTAACCTGGCTGTGTTATGAAGGATGGATTGGAGCAAGCAGACAGAGGAAGTGAAAAGATCTGTGGGGAAATTGTTGGTCACAATCTAGAAGAGTAGTAATGAAGGCCTGAACTAGCGAGGTGGTCACAGAAATAAAGAGGAAGTGACAAATGTGAGAGATACTGCAGTCATGGAAAGATCACTGACTCTGGAGTCAGAAGAATAGGTTCAAATATTATTTCTGACACTAGCTTTGTGACCTTGGCAAGTTATTTCACCTCCTTTTGCCTTGATTTTTCTCATCTGTTAAAAAAATAAAAGCTAGAGAAAGTGGGACTAGATAGGCTCTCAGGTCCCTTGTGGTACTAGATCTATAATCCTGTGATGCTATGGGTAACTGAATTTTAGAGATAAATTAACATGGTGAGGCAAAGAAATCCCCAAGGGTTATGAAGACATAAGTCCGGGTGAATGGTAGTGCTCTAGATAGAAACAGTGCCCTCAGAAAAGGATGCAGGGTTAAGGGTAAAAATAATTAGCTTAGTTTTGGATGTTTTCTGTTTGTGGTGCTAGCAGGGCATCTACATAGAGATGTCCTATAGACAGTTGGAAATGCAGGTCTGGAGATCAGAAGAGAGACTAGGACTAAAAACATAGATTTAGGAGTCATCTGCATATGGGTGGTAGTTGAAATCAACAGAGAGAATGAAACCTGAAGGAGAAATGCGAAAGACGGTGGGGGAAAGGGAGAGGAGACACATACTAATAGGTTGGGAAGAGGATATAGAGTCAGCGAAGGAAGAGAAGGAGCTCTATCCTGTGTCTCTGAAGCTAAAGTGAGCATCCAGTAGAGGGGCTGGGCAAGAGTTGGGCAACAATTAAAAGCTGTAGGGATGTTAACCAGGTGTTATCCTGCTTCCTCCACTTCATGTCTTTGTCGATGAAGTGATGAAAGATAATACTTAAGATTAAACTATATAGCATATGACTCATGATACCACAACCAGGTCCCGCCTTATCTCACATGTGATCTACAGTTCAGCCAAACTAGGCTAGATGCCAACCCCAAAATATTCTACACTTTCCCATTTGCATTTCTCAATTCATTCCAATCCATATGCCAGAAATGTCCTTTCTCCTTCCTTCTTTTCCTCTTTCACTTTTTAAAATCCTAACAATCCTTCAAGACCAGATCAAATCTCACTTCTTCCTTGAAGATTTTGCTTATCTTCTTCTTCCCAATCAGAATTGATTTTTTTTTCTTATTCCAAATCTTGCATTTCACTCTATACTTAATTTTGCTCTTGGCACATTATATTCTTTGTTACAATATATTCATTTGTAGTATTTATTTTGCATATTTACTTATGTACATATACAGCATTTATTTCCCCATGTCCCAGTGAGGACAGAATCCCTGTATCTCAGCAAAGTCTCCTTTCTTTCTTTCTGTCCCCACTTGAACATTATCAGTATTATCAGTATTGTGAACATCAGTATTAAGAACAGTATTATGTTCTTAAGTTCTTGTTTGATTGACTAATTGATTGTGTCTTTTCAAGCTCTGATAAGTGTTGAAGCATGGTAGGCATTTAATAAATAGTAATTTAGTGAATAAATGTCAAATATACCTTACTTTCATTTCTCTAGTAGTGTAAGAATAAAAAAGAGTATTCTCATGAAGCATACATGGCTGTCAAATAGCACTAATTCTAAACTAGTATTAATGTGTTTTAATTATTAAATTTTTACCTCCATATATCATACAAGCCTCCAGGATCCTACCAAATGAATCCTCCATAATATATAGTCCCTCAAAACAGGTAAAACATACTATCAATATTTGGTATTATATACAACACAATGAATGATGAGCATATACATAGAATATTTAAATAGATAATTTTTGCCTTCTAGGATTATATTACATTTTGAGAAAAGATTATTTGTTCTCCTATTACAATTTGTTGTAGGGTTTACTAAGGATCCTTTGTTCTCACAAAATTGTCCTGTAATGCTAGCAGAAGTGGGAAAAGGAGATGACCGACTAAATTAAGTCTTGGTTTTCACCTGTTAAAAAGAAGAACATTGAAAGAAATACATAGATCTGGCCACAATAGAGACAATATCCTCTCCTTCAGTGGCCTCTTAGAAGATACAGTCTAGTCAGGAGAGGAGTCAGCATTGTGGCTACTATAGGTTCCTCTCAAAAACAATTTCAAAGATGGCATAGAGTGAACACCCTGAGGAGAGGAGCCAGTGATAATGTTCATGTTAGAGTGTGCTAGCCCAGGTTTTATGAATTTTGGTATAACTCAAACCCACAGAAGGAGACCAACACACATCTTCAAGTTTAAAACTGAATTGATGAGAAGCAATTAATTTAGTGGTGGCTAGGTAGGAAAATGGATAGAGTGCTGGACTTGGAGTCAATAGGACTGAGTTCAAATCCTGCCTAAGTTACTGTGTTATCCCAAGCAAGTCACTTAACTGCCGTCAGACTCAGTAACCTCATTTGTAAAATGGGGCTAACAATAAAATCTACTTTAGCAGGTAGTTGTGAGGATCAAATGAGATAACACATGTAAGGCACTTTGCAAACTTTAAAGTCCTGTATAAACATTTGCTATTGTTATTTGGGGAAGGAAATTGTTTAGGAAGTAATATGCACATTGGTGTGAAATGCAATGGTTTTCCCATCACTGGATTTATTATGCTGTAGCATTTAGAGAAAAGCTCTTTGAATTTAACAGAGTCAGCCCTCTTTAGAGCAAAAACTGAGGCTTCTGAGGGCATACCCTTTTTTCACCCACTCATTATTAGCAGCAGTTAGGCTTGTTGCTGACCTTGTTCCTACTGATCCAATCAGATTGCATGCATTAAAGTAAGTGATTCAAGATTTAATTTCTTGCAGTAACAGCGAAAGTATAGAAAGGAATAGAAAGAATTACCTGTAAGAATGGATTGTCCTATTGTCATTGCCCATGCAGAAGCAAGCTGTGTTGTTTGGGCCTTCTTTTTCTTTCTTTTTCTTTTTTTTTTAAAGAATAGTATCTTAGAAAAGAGAAAGTAGCAAGCAATTTCACTAGCCTTCACTTCCTAGAAAAGTGTGGTTGATCTGCCACAGTAAATCTCCATTTCTAATTTAACGGCTATGCTGTTAGCTAACTCTTTGCTCCCACCTAGTGGCTTCTGGTTAGTATGTCATTCTAAGGAAGATGACCACGTTTGATAGAAATCAAGAAAAGACTCTGGTGTCCCATTGTTAGACTGGGTTGCTTGTGGAACAGGGCAAGGAAGGAAGAAGGGTCTTCATTTTGTTTGACTGACTAAACACGTGAAACCCACTTAATTTTCCATAAATTTAAAGGACATTAAAATAACAGATTCGAGTGCTTAAGTTTTTGTTTTCAAATCTCCAAGACTTTATGACAAAAGACTTCTGTGATAAGTGGCATTATCCATTAGCAATGGCAAGGGAAAATTAAGATATAGGTTGCAGGTTTATGTAGGAGTTAGGTTTCTAATCTGCTTATCAAACCACTAAACTACAGTATACATTGTGTATAACCGATTAAAGACAATAGGGAGACAGTCTGAACCTGTGATTTTATTGGTATAGAGAACTAACAGATGAGGAAACTTCCTATACCAGTGCAGGTGGGCACCTTATCTGGGCTTAGCAAATTGCCTTGAGCATTAAAGGTTAAATGACTTGCCCAAGGTCACCCAGCTAGTATATGTCAGAGATGAGACAAATCCAATTCTGATTCTGAGGCCAGCTCTGTTTACTATTCCATGCTGCCTAGAGAGACAGTAGATTAATTTTCATCACAGTCAATAACGTAGGTCCAGAAGTGACAGAAACCATGCAATTACAAGGAGGAACTGACTAGAGGAGGAAATGAAAGGGGATATTAACAAATAGCATCCTGGCTCTGTAGTAGTAGACATTATACCACCTTACATTCATAAAATGTTTTCTTTCTTTTCACAGTTACTCATTCGATCATCAAAGATCTGTCACCACACCCTTCCAATGAAATAAATAGGATGGGCATTATTATTCCTAAGTTATAAAGGAGTAAACTAAGGCACAAGGAACTTGTCTAAAGTCACACAGGGAACTGGTAGCAGGACTAGAATCCAAGATATAGTGAAGCAAAGAGTGCTAGATTTGGAGTCTGAGATCCTGTGCCACTGTGTGTTCGTAGGCAAGTCCCTGGACCTCTTTGGGCCTCAATTTCCTCATCCTTAAAAACAAGAGTATTTAACCAAATGACCTCTAAGTTTCCTTCTAGCTTTAAATATAGGCTCCATGTTTCTTTTCCACTATTACATCATATTATTCCAGATGTAATGTCTCTGAAAAAAAATGATTTAAGATGTACATAAATACCACTTCGTACATGTGAAAGCCCAAGAATCATTTATTTTCCAACTTTCTTTCATTACTATGGCCTTTTAAATTCCCCTATATTAAATTGAAATATTTTAAATTTTACCAGTAAGATCGATGGTATATCCATCATTTCTGAGGAAGAAACAGCTTAAATCTAGGACTCTTTTAGGTCATAGATTTCTACATAGAGTGCTGGAGCTGGAGCCAGAAACATTTGGATTCAAATCCCAGTTCAGACACTTAACTAGTTGCGTGACATTGACAAATCTTTTCTCAGACTCAGTTTTCTTATCTATAAAATGGAGACAATAATATCTGTAGTACTTATAGGATTATTGTGAGGATAAAATAAGATCATAGAATTATAGATCTAGAATTTGAAAGGACTTTAGAGGTTCAACCCCCATATTTTCCAAAGGAGGAATCTGAGGGACAGACATGTTTAATGACTTCTTTAAGGTCACATTGTTAGTAATTGGCAAAGGTAGAATTTATAGCCAGTCCTCTGACTCCAAATCCAGAACTCCTGCCACTGTACCATGTACCCTACCAAAGTGTTCTGTAAACTTTAAAGCACTATATAAATGTCAATAGTAGCAGTAGTGATGGTGGTGGTAGTAGCTATTATCAATTACATGAGAATATTCCAAAATTCTGCCAGAGAAGCTACAGATAATGTAATGTTTGGAATATATACATATATATCCAGAATATTTATATATATATATATATATATATATATATATGCATATATGTAATATGATATACTAATATAACATATAATATGGGGCAGCTAGGCTAGAGTGCCAGGCCTAGAGTCAGGAATACTCATCTTCTTGAGTTCAACTCTGGCCTCAGACACTAGCTGTGTGACCCAGTACAAGTCACTTAACCCTGTTTGCCTCTGTTTCCTCATCTGTAAAATGAGCTGTAGAAGGAAATGACAAGCCACTCTGGTATCTGTGCCAAGAAAACCCCAAATGGGGTCGCAGAGTCAGACACAACTGAAAACAACTGAACAACAACAATGTGGCATAATATATATATCCCTAATAATATGTTTCCTCACCTATATATCATATAGAATATGATATATAATATAACCATACATACATTAGTATATATAAATGTGTGTGTGTGTGTGTGTGTATATATATATATATATATATATATATATATACATATAAGCAAATATATGATTTTATTGATATAGTGAAATGGTAGTGAGAAAATGTCCTCTCTTAATGTAGATCTACATCTGATCTGCACAGTTTTAGAAAGTTACCCAGGGTATGCTTAATTGACTTGCCCCAGGGTATACAATCATTATACATAAATAACTCAGTCATTAAATGAAATTAACAAATAGTCCAAAAATTGATGTTGTGGTTACCCAGCACGCATCCATATTCCCTACTGTCATGTCATCAAAAAGTGAGAATGTATATGCTTTGGGTATGTAATGAAATCTTTGCAGATAAACCATTTTCTGTAATGATCACATAATTGAGGGCATAATTTTCGATCACAAATATTTATTATAAATTAATGCTAGTTAATTATTGAATTGTCCTCTTACTACTTGTACATGTGGCCCTTTTATAAATATCAAACATTATCATTAGTGCTTTTTATTCAAATGTACAAAGATGATGACTGTTTAAGTTACAGCTGGAGAGCAGTTTGACTATTTCAAGTCCTGGCTAATGTTGTTAAGTTTATTTTAAATACAACAATTTATATTTTGCCCAAAATGCCATTAAAACAGCCACTAGAAAATACAAATTCTCAAGAATATTATTTTTAACAATAATAAGGAAGGTGCACACTAATATACTATTGTTGGAACTATGAATTAATCCAATCATTCTGGAAATTAATTAGGGATTACTCAAGTAAATTCATTTAACTGTTTAAATCCTCTAACCTAAAAATACCACTACTGAACATATGCCCCCAAGGAGGTCAGTTACAACAGAGAAGGGCACATAACCACACTCTTTTTGGTAGAAAAAAATGTAAACAAAATGAATGAGCATAATTAAGTAATGGTTGGACCAATTATGTTAATGAATGTAATGGAATATGACCATAAAGTATGGCAGAAAGAACCTGGTTTACATTGTCCTTTTAGCTAGCTACTTGTGGGACCTAAATCACTTAACCACACAGGGCTTTCGTTTCCTCATCTTTCAAATGGAGGATGACCTTTGCTGTCTCTTCTATCTCTAGTTCTATAACTCTATGATCCCCTATTCCTATGAAGTGATACAAAATGGAGAATGTAGAACTGGGAGAATAATATACTCATTGATTATAAAAAATGTAGATCATAAAAACCCTAGAAACTTGTCAAACTATGGTGAATTTTAATGAACAATTTTGATCCTGGAGAACTAAAAAAGAAACCTTAAGTGACTCCCTTCAGTACAGATGCGGGGAGTGTAGATGTGAAATGTCAAGCAAAGTTGCTATGTTGGAGGGTTTTGTTTAAACTTACTGTTTACAATGGACAATTCAACATTAGAGGTCAGATTAAATGGAAAAGCACATAAAAAGGCAAAGCTAGCACTGTTTTTAAAATTTATGCACACGTTAGAGAAACAATGTGATGAAACTGAGTCTTGGCTGCTGTCGCTATCGTGACCCTTTGAAACGCATCACCTAAGACCTCTGTTTCTTCATCCATAAAATACATGTCTTAAACTAGATTATGTTTAAAGGTGATTCTAACTAGGCAAAGCAATAAACAATCATTAACTGCTTACTATGAGTCAAGCACCATGCCAAGCACTAGAAATATAAACAAAAGCTTAAACAATAAATACAAGCAAAGAAGAAAGGCAGTCCTTGTCCTCAAGGACCTTTCATTTTAATGAGGAAAACAACACATAAGAGGAAGCTGAAAGGGGTAGAGGGAAAAGAGAAGGTACAGTGGCATGATGAAGACATCCAGAAAAGTTCAGCCTGGTAGGAAATGAAGAGGTGGCTATCCTGGGTACCCTCTTTAATTGAAGGTTCTGGGAGAAGCTCTCTACTCTCCAATTAGAGAGGGGCAATTAATTAGAGAGCCCCTCCAATAGAGAGATAGATAATGATGAGAAGAGAATACTAATGAGGTGTGAATTCCAGGGATAAAGTGATCTTCTAGGATAAAGGTATTCCTGGAACATGAAGAAGTTCAGAATGTAGCCTGATAAGAAATAAAGAGCTCTAAGATTCCATGATCCTATCTTAAAACTATGTATCTTTTAGTCAGATGCTGCTAAAATGCTTCTATTTCAGTATGGCCCACATACTAATGGCATTATAACTAATTATATTCATGTATAATATCTAAATTGAGGGAGAAGAGTTTGGTATAGGGAAAGGTAAGGGGTGAGGGCAGTGTGTACAGATCATCACTTTTAGTCAAGTGCAGAATACCATGAGCACTGAGCCATATTCATCTCCAAGTTATAGGCATCAAACTCCTTGGTCAAGCTACTTACCCACTTTTCTCCTCTACCTAGTTGGCAGAGTGGGGTTAGAGATGAGCTTTAGCTAAAGATGATTCTGAAGGAAGAAATAAACAAGGAAGGTAGGGTAGCCTCAGGTAAATTTCTGCCTTGAATATACTCCC